TGGTGAATGTAGACAGTTGCTGGTTTAGTTTGCTGGCAATGGCATACATACAAAAGCAGTTTCTACAGTAAATATGTAGATACATGAACTTCATTACCTACTTATTTTTGTTAGTACCTGATTCTTTTTGTGCTGGTATGAGGTAATGCACCAGTGGATAAGGTCGCCAGGCGCTAATTCAAGCGGCATCTTACCACGCTGTTACGTATCTAATACAAAACAGTGTCCAAATTATTATACATTCAAAAGTTCAGCTTAAATTATGTTTTACTTACATAGAATATTTGTTTCCAACGAAGCCACACTCATGCATCCTCTCGGAAATGGTACGAAAGTCATCAATCAAAAGCTGTGGAGTCAACAGCTGTAGAGTTTGTGGTGGTTGGCTATCGTCCACATATATAAATATGCACTCTGCATGACTTTTTACAATGGCGAGTCAAAAATTCACTTTGCTGCACACCTTCCTTTTGGTCTACATGAAATTGCAAACACTGTTAATACATCCATTTTTTCATGTGCTAAAATTCTTACTTACCTAAAGGGCTACATGTCCAAAATTATTGCTACGTGTTTCTAATTAATCAAACTTTGTATATTTATTGATTCCTGCAAAATTGGGCCATGTATTATTAAAATTACATATTACATATTTTTATATGCGTTTTGGCATTTCTCTCTCGCAATTCCACCAAGATGACGTCACGCAAAAATTACGCTCAAAAATCCTCTCTCATTGGCGCAATCTTGTATTCTATCATTCTTGCAAGAATGATAGAATACAAGATTGCGCCAATGAGAGAGGATTTTTGAGAACAACTTTTGCGTGACGTCACACTGATACAATTGCTGGAGAGAAATGGCAAAACGTGAGCAAGAATGGAAGAAGAAGAAAAAATGTTGCAAGGAAACATAAACTAGTTGCACAAGTGTGACGTCATACAAACAACGATTCTGTCAAATTCACTGAGAGAGGAATAGCGGTACCGTGATGGGCGCAACCTCTATTTCTCTCAATCGTGTCATTCTTGTGTAGGTACTCGTACCCGTCATGCGTCGCTTTATTTCTTTTTCCCCCTTCCCTATACTAACCAAGAATGATAGTATAATAAAATTATAGTTTAAAAAACTATTATAATTGCCATTCGTACTGTCATCAGGTATGTAACTTGAGAATAGAAATCGCTGCATCTTTTAGGCGCATCAATATTACATAGTTACATCCCGAGCTAATAAAAGGAAGGTAAGAAGGTAATAAAGAGATTGCGCTTTGCGCAGGTCCGTTTCTTTTGCTTGCGATATTGACAATCAGCTGTTCGGGTGATGACGTCACTCGATCAAAATTTTCTGAAAAGTCTATGGCGAGTGGTGCATTTGCTATAGTAATTTTGTTAATATAATTACAGCGTGACGACGAATAACTGTTACCCAGGTTTGTTTGAGAAATAGAAGAGTCCTTTATAGATTTTGCGGAAAAAGTATGTTATTGTTAATTTTCCACAGATTTTACTTTAATTTTTAATCCTTATTTACATTTGCCAGCAGTGTAAACTTTGAGAGAAAAGTTCATTTGGCACGCAGGTCCTCGTCAGTTAATTTGTTCCATATCTTCTGTAACCATAGGCTAATTTTCTCCATTTTGAGTCCCTTATACTCCCCCATACTCCCCCTCATACTCAAAAATCGACTAGACTCGGGACTGGTGACTAGGACGGCCATTCATTCGACCAACCTTATACAGTTTTTTTCTTTTTTGTACTTTTTTTATACAAAGCCTAAGAAAAAATACACCTGAAAAAGACTTGCGTGCCAAATGAACTTTTCTCTCAAAGTTTACACTGCTGGCAAATGTAGATAAGGATTAAAATTTAAAAACTAACTAATACAACTAAAGTAAAATCTGTGGAAAATTAACAATAAAATACTTTTTTCGCAAAATTTATAAAGGACCCTTTTATTTCTCAAAAAAAACTGGGTAACAGTTATTCGTCGCCACGCTGTATATTAGTGAGTTTTATGAAAAAATAACACCAAATTGAAGTGTGCGGTGTCTGGCTGTACTAATAGTTACAAAAAACTGTAGCGGAGTGTAGTTTATTCACGTTTCCTACGCATCACACTTTGGCGCGCAAGCGGATGCAGTTCTGCCGCCAAGGGAAAGGTTTCAGTTTTAAAAACTGCTACATTTGTATGGAGCACTTTGCTGCTGGAGATTATGGCAATCTTCTGTAGTTTGAAATGGATATTTATAATCGCTTTTATACTGAGTTGATTGTGGAATCAACTCAGAAAAAAACATGACAGCTCAGCAAAAAATACCATATTTAAAACCGAAATTATTAATAAATTAGCACACAGATAAATAAAGCGTAGACTTGTCTACAAGTGTGTGTGAAAGTTTTTTATTCAAGTCACGCGTTTGAGCACTGCAACCCAAAATCGTTGTACAAATAACTAAACCGTACCCATTAAATATTCATACACGTCGATCTCCTCGAACAACGCCGTGCGCTCTTTTGGCGTTTTCATTGCGATATTTTCTACGGCGCCTTAGAATAGCAAAAAAGTACACATCCTCGTTTAGCATTGAGGTGGAGGCCTCCACTGAATCTTCATCCTCAGTAATTTCAATGGTGACGGTAGGGACCAACATTTCATTTCTGCTCACTCCGCAATTGTAAATATATTGTTATTTTAAGAACGCAGCTTATTAATGAGTCTTACTCACACATTTTCATAAACCGGAAAATCATGCGCACAATAAAATCGCTGCTCCCAGCTTAAAAAATTTTGCCAGCTCCATTTCACTGGACTACTTACAGCCTGCAATACAATTATATTCAAAATTTTGCTTCGAAATGAGTTAAGAATATATTTACCTACGCCTCGATTCAGTAAATTGCACTTAAATTGTTTTATTATAGTTATTTAACTGAATTGTGTGCAATATTTACATTTCTGTGTAGAAATTGTATGCATTTTGACAGCTCGCCAACAACAACTTTGATACTGTGACTTATATGCGAAAATTTTTTGCACCCCTATCGGCGCAATCTTTGTATTCTATCATTCTTGTATATTACCTACATCTTCCTTCTCACTCATGTAACGTTTTCAGTTTCACTTCAAAAAGTTAATAACAATAACTCATGTAAAACTTCGATTTTTCCAAAATTGCTTAAATTATATTTTTTTTATGGTTGTAAACCGAATAAAGTTATTTGTGCGAAAAAATCTTTACCGTCCAATTTCGGGTTACCCACTTGAGAGATTTTCACTCATTATGAATTTCAATCAGATTTTATAAAAAATACGGATTTTCTAAATACCTCACGTTACAAATTTGAACGGAATCGGTTAATAAATGCGACTTTTATAAGTAAATCTACTCCAGCGCCACAAGCGTATTTTCTATGAGCCTATAAAAGGACCATATATGTATGCAAGGTATAACCTCCGACAATTTGACTGAGCTCTATCCAGCGAAAACGGCTATCATTTTATGTATGTACAATGTATGTATGTATATATGTGGTCCTTAAAATTTAATGAGCAATTTTTTTCAGTCTCACTAGAGGTATACGCCACCATCCACGCCGTTTTTTGTCATTTCTCACGCGCTGCCGCCGAGTTACGAAAATATCGGCGCGGCGGCGGCGGTGTTCGGCGCCTAAGGAATTTTGTACAAAATTTTCATGATGTATACACATTGAAATACATCGTTTGAAGTAACTAAATACTACTCGCATAAAAACACTATTTTACGAAATGAAAATTACATATTTAATGGAGTCTTTTTTTGCATAATTTGGGCCACTGAACATTGCCAAAAAAAAGCGTAACTCAGAAAAAATATTGGTAACACGTTTTTTGGTTAAAAGCGTTTATTACAGTTAAATTAGGGTCGAATACTGGTAATCTGACGAGTTTTTTCCGCAGTAGAAAATTTTTTTCAATACTACAACAATACTACTTTTTTATATACAACAACAACAACAAAGAGTATAACACATCAAAAACTTTAACGCCAATATCTCAGAAAGCATTTTTAATAGAAGCGTCCTTTTTGCATCTAACTCCTCAATTATTGGAGATAAAACAAAGACAAGTTGATTTTCCTGTGTATTTTTTTTTTTTTATTTTAAACACACTTAATAAAAAGCAAAAACTTTTTTTGCTAATTTTTACATTCGTAAGTTATTTTATTCTGGGGTCCCGCAGTCGTATACAAGTACTAGGTGGCTGTGTGAAAATTATTGTTTATTTTGTTTATTTTTTGTTTATTTTGTTTCATTTAGCCAATGAATACATCATATATTCTTACAGACTATTAAAAAGAAAAGTAAAGTAAATTTACAAAATTAATCCAAAATAGAAGATAACAATTTCAAAAAGTCGTTTTTACAGGCTGTAAAATCAATACGAATACAATTTTCGATGCGGTTAAGATCGCATAAAGCTCTTGTGATAGGAGCGTTTAATGCATAAACAGTTTTTACCGGGCCAATATGAAAGGACTCAAAGTAAATTTCTAAGTGGGGCATTAAAACGAATACGTTCAAGGAGGGAGGCACAGTCCACCCCTCCAGAAATAATATCAAATACAAAAGATAGCGACAGAATCTATCTCCTACTTTTCAGCGATTTTAAATTAATGAGCTTACATCTAGCAAGATACGAAGGAATAGGTTCATTAAAATGCAAGGTTCGAAGAGCAAACCTGGTAAACACCTTTTGCACTTTTTCAATGCGGTTAACATAACATGGCCTCCAGATAAATGAGGCGTACTCTAACCTAGATCTAACAAGGATAGTGAAAAGCAATTTAAGTGTATAC